CTAGTAACTTAGAAATATTGATATTTTAGTGTTTGGTCCTGATCAGGTTTCCCATATTCGCTCAACACCATATTTATTAATTCTACAACCATCCTCTACTTCATCCTTATTCCATTCAATGGTGGTTAATATGTTGGTATTACAACCATATATTTTAATTACTTATACTATACTTTAATTACTTGTTTTTGTTTGATTAGACGTGTAATAAAAGCGCGCCTATATGCTAGACCTCACAATTATCAATTAATTAAAACAAAGATAATAAGATATCCTTAAATACACATTCTACAAACTTCATTGTTTACAATGCATTAAATTGTACTAACACCTCGCTCTGACTCGCCTGGGGTTGTTGAACTGTGTATATTTATAATGTAATGTACGTATTAGCTATTTAATACATAAATGATAATACTAATAGTCTAGTCTACAAGACAATAACTATTTTAAATAATAATTTTGACTAGGTTGTTATTCAGTAATTAATAAATTACATAAAAAAATAATCCATTAATTGCAACTGCTACATTTAAGTATTTTTAGACGAAACTGTCCTAATTTCTGTCGCAAAAGAATGGGTTATTATAGATTTTATTTTAAATAATAATTTAATGACGGTCTCTTACATTTCGTCGTCGTTATCAGTAGAAGCAATAACTTGTACAACTTAGTACAAAATAACCAATTAATATTATGTGTAGACCTTATTGTGAACTTTAACCGCGCTATACAGTCCATTGTACAATACAATGAAGTAAGATTATATTTTACTCCAGCATTATGTAATATGTAGTTGTTGTGAGTAGACAAACATGGTGAAATACCATCCTAGACAAAATGTTATTGGCGTGATATTGCTAGATGCCCCGCCCTTTTGTAATTGAAGGGTGAATTTAAAGATATAATACTTTTTAACAACACAAAAAATTACCATCGTGAAATGCATTCTACCCCTCATTCATAATAATAATGTACGCGATATACACGATGTATTAAGGTACCTATTGTACCAAGTTACCGCGTAATGTATTGTGTAATGTAATCGTAATGCAAAATCCGGTATACTCAAGGACAGATCTGGTTTTAGTAGTTTACCGTACGTACAAAATACAACCCTTTCTCATTTTACTTACCGGCTTTGGAAGTTGCCTATACACCAACATGGGCTTTTTCACTTGGATCCAAGACGAGGTTAGCGTATTGTCGATATTTATTCATAATGACACATGAGCATACAGTACAAATGTAAATTATCCAACCTTTGAATTTTAAATAAGTATTGGTAATTTTCTGTGTTCTAAAGAACTGTTTAAAATGTTTGGTTCATGGTTGCAGCACAGCAGATGTTCAGAAAAGTACAATAGAAGCCCATTGTTAAGATTCTTTCTCTTCGGTATTGCGGATGAGATAGTAACGGTTATATTCCAATTCTTGTAGACTTAACTTGTGATAATGTAGTTTACTTTTTAAAATCGGGAGAACCGGGAGTGTCTTTCGGGCAGCTAAACTAGGCACTAGCCATACGTTGCATAATCTGTCATTTCCATGGATTAAATACGATTATTCATAACCAAACAGAAATTGAAAAAAAAAGGTATTGTATATAAATAATGTAGGAAATGTTTTTCATAATCAATGGTATAAAACAATATATTATTCTTTAATATTGGAGAAATAGTATCTAATATAATAGAAGCAAAATAATTTGAAAATTAGGTATACGATTCTACTGAATAATTTTAAAATTATTTTCCCTTAAATGATATTTTTATTGTTGTTGGCGAAACTGTTGTCCTGCCTGATTACACATTTCTGCTACCTGAGTAGGAAAAGACTAGCAGCATTTCATAAAATGTTTTTCATAACGTTCCGTATGATAATACAAATAAGATTTCGTCTGAAAGAAATGCGAACTTGCATGTGATCGACACTACTCGATCGATTAATACTTTACTACCTTTACGTTCCTTCATTTCGCTGTTGTAATATTGTATAAAACGAGATGGTATGTATGTTGTTATGTGCGAACCGAGATAAGTCGGTAGGTACTCACTACGAGACGAGTGGGGTCATATCATGCAATAAGCGTGTGCAACGGAACGGAGTTGTGAATGGCGCGGGCATTGAGGACAGGGAGGGGGGGGAGAGTGCTCTAACCGCGTCTGGCGGCTAGCGGGCATGAGGAGTGAGGACGTTGTGCGGGGGTGTCACAGATGATGATGTCATCATACCTCCCGCCATTTTGAAGCGAATGATACGTGCGGTTCGTACCGCCTTGCCCGGTTCTGACTTTAATAGCTGTTTTTATTCATCCGCTCGTCCGGCCTGATTAGAATTGAGAATAGTATTATGCATAGCCATATAATAAAGATAAAGACCCTGTCTATTTTTCATTGTAGAAAAAATATTCAACCGGTTAGCATTAAATTTCTTTTTTGTGCTCCACTACCTAAAATTTTAAAATGATATTAGGTCTAAGTATTAGCGGATCAAATATTTTGGATTCTTTATAGATGTTTTTTTTACTAACTATTCTAATGCTGTTGAACGCATCTGGCCCTTACAGCTACCGAACGATAGGGTGCGAGTGCAGATGGCATTCTAAACCCGCGAAAGGACTTGCGAGCGGCTGAAGGCCAATTTCTGCCTGACGGATGTGACTTTTGTCTGAGGGCACCACTAGGGGTTCAAATATCGGCTCATGCCGCCGTAATTTCTATTCCCGTTTGAATTGGACAGGGGATTGATCGGAGGGGAATAAATCGATGTTGACCATCTATTCATTTCTATTAACCTATATACTATGGAGTATATATGATTAATATATAAATATTTTATTTAACACTATTACATGTTGTTTAATACACAACAGAAAAATATTTTGACAGTAGCATTGTAGATCGTGTCGGTTAGGTTAGCCAGGCAGTAGAACGGTTTCCTATGCGAAGTAATATTATTTTTATCTTATCCGACTCATCAAATGAATAGATATTAATAAATTTGTGATTTTACCATAGTATGCATACCCTATTTCCCCTCAGATTACTTATTGTATGTATGGTTGTCCCGTTATATGAGTAGGGCTGCCACAAGGCATTTTAACATTAATTTGTATATTGGGTTTCGTTTTGACAGTGTTATAAATACACAATGCTATATAGTTATGACTCAAATGTGTGATAATTAGCTACAGTGTAAATATTAAATTCTGTAACACAGACTGTAATATCACTATTTATTGTATTAAAATTACATAAATTATTTTCATATACTTTGGTTTGTAATAAACTCGTTAAAAAAGTAACGTGTACCATTGTACATACGAATTTAGTTCGTACAGGCTAACCAAGAATAAAGGAAAATCGACCCGAACACTATTATTATATTTTATAAAAATATACTTATTAATCAAATGTATGTCCTCGTATTATTATATTGCAATTATTAAATAATTTCTGATGAGTGTATTTTCATTAGTACTTCATTAATAAAACTGCGCTCATAAAAAATGGAAAAATGGAGTAAAACCTATTTTTATATACTAATATTCAATTTTCAAAATAAAATAATGAAGTCTAGTGACCGGAAAAATAACTAATCGGGCCTATAAGCACTATAGCATGCGTTTTGATGACGCGATGAAAGGAATACATATGAAATCACTATAAAATCGAATTAAAATGTTACATAAATGTAAATTAGAAATACAAAGTATATAAACAATGCGTATATCGATTTCCGCTTAATGAAGTCTCAAAATATGCAACCATATACCTAACTAGAAACACTAAATGTACTACGTGGCCAAAGAGATATCAATAGCATATCCAAAGTCAGTATAATATAATTATGAATACTGAGCGATTTGTCTATTCTCTGGAAAGAGTAAAAAGTTTAACCCCTCCGATGTATAAACGCGGTGAACCCTTGTGTACTTACGCCGCGCAAATACAAATATACCTACAAAGTGTTTGTTGTTTTGAGTAAGGCGAGTACAGCTTTAAAGCTATTATTACAGTGCAAAATCAATAAAATTTTAAATTACAACTAAGAATTGTTTAAACAATTAGTAATTTAACCTTAATGTACCAAACATACTTTAGTTTTTTCCCAACGTCTTAAAATTATCGAATTGCTTTTGATAGAGAAATTGTGGAGACAGGGGATCGTTGTGGCATTCTTTCATATAAAGTGTGATAAAATCTTTGTTCATTTGATTATTTGACCCAGATATGGCTTTGTACCATAAAGTAACTATTCTGCTATTAAATTGAAAAAGAATAGAAGGTGTCAGTTTAATATAAATTTCTTGAATGGACGTTTATTTTTGGAAAATGATGTCTGTTAGGGACAGGTTGTTGGACCACAAGGGACAAAATGTTGCATCTAAATAAATGTAAGTTTTGCTTATTTTGGAGATGTATTTATAAATAAAATTCTCGTATTACGTTTAGACCGATGGTTACATCATTAGACTCTTTTTATTTAACATTAAAATTGCGTTCTTTGTTTAGCCGATGTTGCCGCTTTAACTTACCCTTGTCACAACCGGCCCCAGTATCTACAGCAGATATTGATTGACCAGATAACAAACAAATATATGAATACGTACTCAACAGTATTCATAACACATGTTGCTATGTTAATAGTGACCAAATTGACGGATAAAGAGAATACAGACTAAAAATACATAGTATAAATATATTCAAGTGCAATATACCCATGCCAGCGGATTACTGGCGAATGACCAATCGGCAACTACTTGTTGCTTGCTGGCATATTGAACTGGGTAGACACACCCACAACAAAATTTTATTGATATCATTAAGTACAGACCTTCCTGTTGACTTAGCTGGATGGAGAGAAATTGTAGTATTTAAAAAATACATATCATAAATAGATTTCGTTTAAACATTTCATCTACTCACTTGATCCAATCTCATCGAAAATAAGGTAATTGGCACATTGTCTCTAAGTGGTTATGTCGCTTCTCACAGCCGATCATCAAAGGTGGTACTCATCAGTGGTCTGCCCCTGCATTTTCGCTTCGACAACATCGAGCACCAGCTCGCACAGTATGGCAACGTGCAGCATTGCGACAAAGCGACCTCGCGTGATGCCAACACCCAAGCGGTGTTCATTACGTTCGAGACGCCGGAGCAGGCGCAGCTGTGAGTATACTGACTGTTTGATGGCACATCGGGACGTATTGCAATGTTTGTTCCACGAGTATCGGCAGGGTGCTTGGACTATCGCTTCTTCTGTCTCACCATTTCCTTTACGACCTTTGCATGATTGCGTGAATTTTGTTCTAACATACCTTTTCTATTTGCTTGACTACGACGATTTTCAGGATCAATTGCAGGACATACTTAGGTCGTGGTCTCCAATTTTATGGTGCCGGTAGTGTCGAATGTCAATGTCAGCGTAGAATACGATTAGAGGCCGGCCATGACAACAATGGTTACTCTTGGTTTTTAATATACCTTAACGCCAGTGTCAGCCACTTACCGAAACTAGTTTGGAAGTTTGTGAAAAATTATATTTAATTATATAAAGTGTGAATAGCAGAGAATCAAGTTACTTCTGATGAGAAAAGAACTTGTGATATATTTTGTACTGTATGTGATATATTATGCTGGTATTTATATATTTTAATGAAAGTTTTGTCTAGTTTTCTTTCATTTTGTGAGATGTTGGTACCCTTCGTATATTGCTGCACTGTAGTAAAAACTCTCAACGGCGCGCTTAATATGCCAAAGCCATGTGCAGAGTTCCTAACGGCATGATGTGCATTTGATCAAGATTCGCATCAATAGTGGCACAGTACGATATCAGGCATTCGGATGCGGGCTGCGACCACACGCTGTGGACGGCCTACGACATGTATTGGAGACCATCGCCTACATTTCAGCAGCATGATGAATTGCACTTGAAACGTGTTGTACATAGTTTTTCCGTGATTTATCGTTACTTAGTAAAGCATGAAATCATCATAACAATATTTTAAAAACTACATAACACTAGTTTATTGGGACAAGTCTTATCCATCGAGAACTGGCGCTTGGCTAAAATTCCGATTATGTATGATGTGTGTGTATATGATATGTATATTTGACAGTTGCAGTTGTACATCGTACAACTCGGTTTGTATCTGCAACAGTCAAACGGTTTCTTATTATTACAAAACCTGTACAGTATACAATTAATATTTATTAAATTGGTGGTGGTTGTATTCACCTAACATTGAATTACTTGTTCACCTAATGTTGTATTATTTGATGTATGGAAATAATATAGATATGACATTGTAATTTTTTACTTTTGTGCAATATGTGAATAGATTTATCACGTGAAAGAATACGATCTATTCTTAAATGTTACTCTTTCATAATAACTACTTGTTACGTCTACCATATGTATGTACTAGTGTTCTACATATATCATTAATGATTAATTCGGAATTTCAGAATTTAAACCTAATATGTAGTTATAATTATTATGTGGTTACCGAATTGTAAACCCATTTTTCTGTTCACAATCGGCTAATCCGATAATAATTCAAACTGCTTATTGGTAACTGTGATTTTTCTGTCGAAAGCCATTCATTATCATTTAATACTGATCACATAGCTAGCAAATAATCGTGCGGGGAAGACCTAGTCCAGTAACATTATATTTACCCTACAATTTTCCTAATATGTAATATAAAACTTTCAGTCAAGCTCAACTAACTACTACCACTACTTCTTTTAAATTTCTATCATGTTGATATAATACGACGTTGAAAGCTTTCTGAAACATAATTTTATAATATAGTTTTGTAAGATTAACTTTTTTTTACATGTACTTTTTAACTTTTATAACCGCAGAATTTATAATATAGTAGACGATTTCAGAAAATGGTTGCGTTTCATGATATAATTGATTATTAGGGACTATAGATTAGTAGTAAGAAATGGCAACACTGTTTTTTCTCGGATCCGAACCTAAAATTTGTTTCGTCATACACTGTCAATTATTAATACTATTTTAGTGTAAGTTCGAAAAATAATGATACATATCAATAGATATTCTTATCATGTTAGATCTAACAAATGACCGGTACGTCATCGTTGTTTCACACTGGCTGTCATTAAATGTTTAAGTTTATTTGTTCATCTATGTTTGTTTGCACTGTTAATGTATTATAGAATGCCTATACCAGTATTGTTTATTGATTACTTGTACTTCCTAAGAAATTATTATTCATTTATTAAAAGTTACTATATTAACTTCTCGAATTCTCGAATGTTCATTTTTAACACGATACAACAAGCATTGTTTTCCGCCGCCATTTTGTATGATCAACATATGCAGCAGATAAATTACATGTTATTGGTGCCGTTAGTGATTAATTCATAATTCATAGTGATAAAATAGTTTTACAACTATTTAGCATTCTAATACTTAATAATTCTAATACAACTATTCACCATATCATATATTTATATTATAGCATCGACGATCTCTCTGTTCATTTATTTGCTATTCGTATAATATGAACAAATGTTTAAAAAACCATTGTATTTTCCATGAAACAACCATTTCATGAAGTGGTCGACTACTCATAAAATGATATGAATTACGAGGACACATGTAAGTAATCAGGCTGAAGACAGTAACATTACAATTAAAATAAAAGTGACTTAAATATATTATTTCCTTTTATTTACTTCTAAAAAAATATCTTATGACTAATGGCAACACAAACCGCCGGAGCCAAAAGAAGGAAAAAAAATGTCTGTCCGTTTTATTACGAAATTTAATAAACATATTTTAATAGTATCGTAGAAAGATAAGTATATTGGATTTACATTTCAATTTACAGACTTTTTAGTATTAAAAATGTAACAAATATTTTAAGGAAAGGCTATTGTATAGAAAGGCTATTGCTAGATATACTAGAAATTTGCCATACCAGTGTGCGCAAGTCTTGATTTACATGCACATTGTTATATTCTGTGATTGGATCACACGTCCAATCGAGTGTTTGATCCCCGCTACTGTGGGACAGACCATCAATTTCCTTATTAACTAACTGACCTACGTGATTGTCACATAACAGATCACAGTTCTGATGAAGTTACAACTTAAAACGTAGCTGTGTACCAAGTAAGTGTTTGACGAAAGATTCCGAGCTGTATTTAAAGCATGTAATCGTAATCTTCAGATAATTGTAGGTTTTGAATTTAAATAATATGAATCTTATATATTTTTATAAATATAATTATAATACTTTAAAATACACGAGACTAATATGTTTGGGCTTGTCGCAAAGAAATAAAGTAAACATGGAAACATATGTAAAAACATAGATGTCTCTCAGTTGCAATATTTATTTCAGTGGAACAGAACGGAAATATTACAAATGTGTCATACAATGACTTGTATTGCGTTCATCGTATTGTTACAATGTAATTAATGTGCATTACGATGTGCTCATATATGTCCATGAATGCAATTGATTCAATACCTGTTCTGTTTGTTGCAGAGCTATCAATGGCTTGAATGGGTGTGATATAGAGGGCAGCCGAATGAAAGTGGAAGCTGCAGAGCAAAACGCTCGCGGCGGGCGGCGTGGCAGGCCAGGCGGCGGCCGTGGGGGTGGCGGTGCAACTGGTGGCTCTCGTCCCACCGATTTTCCGCTGCGGCTACTGGTTCAAAGCGACATGGTCGGAGCGATTATCGGCCGGCAAGGCAGCACCATCCGCCTAATTACACAGCAGAGCCGCGCCCGTGTCGATGTACACCGTAAGGATAATGTAGGTTCCCTCGAAAAAGCCATCACCATTTACGGCAACCCCGAGAACTGTACCAATGCCTGTAAAAGGATACTAGAAGTCATGCAACAGGAGGCGAACAACACTAACAAGGGGTGAGTATATTTAGTTTAACTTAAGTATGTACAAATAAATGTATTTTGTTATCATTATTAATTCACTAATCATGCCATTCAGCATGGTGCCACCACTTCCACGATAATAGACTATTACTGATGATAGTTACTTGTTGTTTAACATTTGTTGATTTGTTTATATATTTTCGTTCACATTGGTAATTTATTATACTGCACTTTAGTCTGAAATTATTTTATTAATAGTTTTTAAATACGAGAACCGACATAGTTTATCGCTGTCTTTTTATATCGCAATTTATATACAGACATACCTACATGTAAATACACACACGGAAATAACACGTGATTGCCACCTCCAGATAAAGTTGTTTGCATTATGGATCCATAGTTATTATTCAATAGATATTTCATAATTGTATAAAACTTAATAAACTTAATAAATTACGTTAAAATAAAGGAAAACAAATATTTACTAGAAATGCAATGCATTGAATAAGCAAACTTGTTAAGTTTAAACGACTCAACGAAACGTAGTCTGTTTTCTTATCTGACAAATTAGACATCTTTGTTGGCACCTTTTGGCGATTATTGATCAGTGTTGTGAGGACAATTAGATATTAATATTTAGAGATTTATAATTACATTCAAAATGTGAATGTTCATTTAAGTCGCATTAACACAATAAAGTATAGGTATTTAAATAAATATAGGATTGTTTGATACACCAATAAGAATAGATTTTTGGTGTCTTTTTTCATAGAACCTCACATAAACGAACATTTTTCACATTAATTCGTAAGGGTAAAAATGTTGCGTATAAGCAAAGTTGGGTTTCCCTATGTTGCGCTACAGACGTGAGTGAAGTATTAAAAAAACTATCAGTATGAAGATACAGATATTTTTAATATTTACAGACTTTACATACAGTACTTAAATATTTTTATTATTATGATTTGTTGTACTTCTACATAGTCAACGTCTTCCTCGCAGTATACTTTCATGCTCTTGTATGACATGATCAATATAGAAGCAATATTGGAAAGTAACGCGTTTTTTTGATGATATTCCTAGATTTTCAAAAACTGCGAATGTTTTGTAAACAACGTTGTTTTGTTTTTATTATACTTACTGCAATATATTCTAATTCTTCACTGAAAAATCTCTTTCTCCAGATTGTAAATATTTCACAAATTTACCAAAACAAATTGATTAACAGTGCTTTTTCTCTCTTACTCTAATCCTGTAATTGGCTATTCCATTGTTCCATTGTTATGGAGATATAGGCATCCCATATTTGTATAATCAATGGTTAAATTTTTGCGGTGTTAGTAATCTCTCACCACAGAATTATTGTTCCATCAATATCACTTCATGTTTTCATGTAAGTCATATGACCCTGTCTTTTTTCCGAAGACTTTTCGTATTTATCAAGATTTTATTCATAATTCTATAGTACCAGTGGCAAAATAGCCTTTCTCTTTCATAATACAAAATAATCTATATGAAGAAAAGAAATTATCGAAAACAAATGCAATGCTATCAATAACGGACAATAGTACAAAACAGTTTTTTCTCTTATACCTAAGTCATATCTAATTACGTTACGATTCTTTCTCCCACAGGGAATAAACTGGTACAGATAACTACACAAGCACCATAACTTGAATCCAAATCTAATGATATCCATTCATTAATAATATATCAACCAAGAAATCTTTGCGACGGTTACCGTGAAGGTAAATAAATGACGGTTATGGTCACAAGCACATTTCTTTGATGTATCGACATTTTGAATGATGAGAATGTGTATACGCTGGATGCTCCCTTTTAGCCTGGAACACATTTACACGTAATTTGTCGTCAGATTTCATAGGCATATTCTAAATTATCTTTCTCTTCAAATATACTCGGATGTCTTAAAGAAGAAAGAAGAGCAATGAGCCTTCGTTGCCAAGCCATGTTTTAGTTTTTACTTTTCATTCACTAATTTGTATATATTCACTTATCGATTTTAAAGAATTACTATGACACGTTTCGGTTAACTTTCTATAACCCCCTTAAACTCTGCTAATACTGAGATCCTATTGTTTTAAATTTCTACCATGAATGGCAAACTGTGTAACAATAAAAACTCACCAGTATTTCACCCACAATTTGTGCATACGCAACATTTCCTGGAAGTATAAACAACACCTATAGTATTGTCATATCATATATGAAATATTTTTTATTATTGGTTGTATTTGTCCTGGAATAACTCAATTAGCTTTTGTTTGTTATTTCGTTTACGTTACGGGGTATATTAATTAAAGTGTAAAAAAATCATCGGTATTTGAGTTTAGCTGTTAGGAGGTAGAGATATGTTATATTAACTTTTACATTATTAATTAAGTTAAACAACTACCCTACCCATCGGAAAGTGAAATTCCGTATTGATCGTCTGAATGAATAGCGGTCCTCCACCGTGCGTTTTTCCCTAAACTGTAGTGCACAAATACATTGTGGTGAACAAATTACAAATACACGCTTGCAATTCTCCTAGTGTTGCGGGGATGCTCATGAGTGACGGTAATCACTTTTCATCAGGCGAGCCGCAAGCTCGTTTATTATCCAAAAATGATCATCATATCAAAACCCGCTAAAAATATCTTCTGATGCTTTAATGGAGGTGGCAACCAGTTTTTGCACATGATATCCACGCGCTAGCGGTATGCGTTCGAGATCAAAGGAGTCGAACTTTTAATCAGTTATATAGTAATATTGCGATAGTACTCGTACTATAACTATATATATTAATAACGCACTTGATTAAATAATGTTTACGTTTTATTATTCTACATACACCTATATAGATTTTGTTAAAAATATGTACTCCCTTTGTTTCAGTGACATCTGTCTTAAGATTTTGGCCCATAATAATTTAATAGGAAGAATTATTGGTAAAGGTGGAAATACCATCAAAAGAATCATGCAAGAAACTGATACCAAGATTACAGTATCTTCAATTAATGACATCAACAGCTTCAATTTAGAGCGGATCATTACTGTTAAAGGATCAATTGAAAATATGGCTAAAGCAGAGTCACAAATTTCAGCTAAATTGCGTCAAAGTTATGAAAATGACTTGCAGGTAATGTAGTGCACATCTACATAACATCATTTTATGGTTGAACATGTTTTTTCTATCATTATTACATTTTTTCGTGATAAGAACAACTGTTTCAAATACATATAGTAGGATCATCATTTGTATTAGTATCGTCACTATACTCTATTTCAATAGTAAAGTCAGGTAAACAATATCAGATAGGACATATACTGATAGTTTGGCTCTTTATTTATCACCAATTTTAGTAACAGTATTTGTTTTCTTGTATTTCAAAATTTCAAATGTAAAATTATATATACTTTATCTATCAACCTTTGATTATGATCGTTAGTTATATTAACTTTTTTTATAATGACGTATAATCAAATTAGTAAAAGGAATATTGAAAATATTTAATATGATTATTGATTTTTTTATTCCCACTGCTTTTGCTAATACACTAGACTAGTGAGTCGATGGTCGGGTTAGTGACCTTTTATGTAAGTTCTATAGGAATGGAGTATACTCAACTATATTCTGTTAATGACATTCGATTACACAATGCCGTTAATTTTCTTATTTACTGGTATAAGTAATATAAACTTGCATATTTATAATGGGTAAACAGAAAAATAACGTCTCCTATTTTAAAAATTCTTTAATATGTCCACAAACTTCCTAAGTGGCCTGTCAAAGCCGGGTCAGGTTATTAATTATGCCAATTATATTACTATTGTTACTAAATAATTTTCTTTTTGTTTATCAGGTGTTGGCACCGCAAAGTATAATGTTCCCGGGTTTACACCCCATGGCGATGATGTCGACAGGGCGCGGCTTTTGCGGAGCCCCTCCGCCGTTCCCGCCTCCCATCTACGCACCGCTAGCCGGCCAGGGTGGTGCGCAACAGGGTGCTGGTGATTCGCAGGTGACGAGATATAACTTATAACTATTTCAATTTAACTCACCCATTGTGTTTGTACAGTTAAAACTATTAATAGACAGGATTGGCCCCGTGAATTGGGGCGGGAACATGGATGGCCAACCTATCTCTTCCGGCTGTTCAACGTGAAACTTGACCACTATGTTCTTACTGATAACAAATATATTCTACTACAACTATATTCAACTCAGTGAATCTGTGCTGAAGTATGATTGTATTAAAGTTTCATCCATGTTAGTTAGCACACAACTTTAGTTTCTATTCGGCGCACGGACGGCGGCCGGAATTGTATAGTTTTGCTACCTGCTATCGTACTTCTCCCTTCCGTTATTACTAGAGTCCCCTGTCAAAGTTGTAACGAAGCAAAGTTGTACTATTCCTAATAACATGAAGTCGTAGAGTAGGATGTATGCTTTTGTTAGGAATCATTGAAGCGTAAAAGGCAAACGAAATAGAGGAAATGTATTTGAAAAGTTCAATGAGTCACATGCTTATCTATGTCTGGGAGATGTAGAGGACTCTTGAACACTTTTGTGACTAATCCCATGCATTGTATTGTTTTATAAATTATATCTTATTATTAATTATCAACTAGCTTATATTTTGGTCAATGAAAGAACTGACAGTCATATTATTAACATTATTATTTGATCATATTTCAATGGATTTAAATTGATATTGATATTAAAAAGAAAGAAAAATGTTTATTTATTTTATATAAAGAATTCATAGCAAACGATATAATTAATTAACTTAATTACTAGGCTTCAAGATTAGACTTGCGAGCTCGTTATGTTGAAATTTATAAAAACTAACTTTATAATGAAGTCTATTTATTTTGCTTAAGAAAATGTGTGGTAATGATTTTTTTTTGCGACAGGAAACTACATACTTATATATACCCAACAACGCGGTAGGCGCTATAATCGGTACTAAGGGCTCTCACATCCGCAACATAATTCGATTCAGTAACGCGTCTGTGAAGATCGCCCCTCTGGAGCAGGAGAAACAGGGCGAGAACCCAAATAATCCGCAGCAAGAGCGAAAGGTCACAATCGTTGGCAGTCCGGAGGCCCAGTGGAAGGTAGGGAATTACTACTATACTAACTAAAGTGATTACTAGAAATTGACAAATAGAATAACTTGGAAATTTCGTGTGGTTATGGTGACTGTCTGTAGAAACTTGGGCAGAGCCGTTACCGCTCGCCAGTTACAAATGTCTTTATAATTTACAAATATTTTTAAGATGATGTAATTTCGCAGTATATAACACTTTGTCTTTATTGATGGATATATATTATTAAATGACGGTTTAAATTTTTCAGGCGCAGTATTTGATCTTCGAGAAAATGAGGGAGGAAGGTTTCATGTCCGGCTCAGATGATGTCCGGCTGACTGTTGAAATAGTGGTCGCTTCGTCCCAGGTCGGACGTATTATCGGCAAAGGTGGTCAGAATGTACGCGAGCTGCAGCGTGTTACTGGTTCCTTGATCAAGCTGCCCGAGCAGCCGCCGCAGCCAACTGGGCAGCAGCAGGACCTGGACACGACCGTGCACATCGTGGGACCATTCTACAGCGTGCAGGTATGATACAATGACCGCCCACGCGATAATGTCTGTGATGTCATCATGGTGTATTGTATAATATATATATTTTTATTTATAAGAATGAAGCTACATTTATGTATTTTATAATATTTATATTTATTACATATTCTTGTTTAACGGAACATTTTATTGATTTAGTCGGTGGTTTATTGACTCAATTTCCGATAGTCGCGGGTTCGATTCCCGCTCAATACACACATTTTTATCGTGTTACAGTATTGGTCTGGGTGTGTCTGTGTTGTATTATATATGTATTTAGAATAAAATGTATTTTATTGTGTCTATCATTTGTTTTAGTACCTATACAATTTTTGCTTTGTTTAGAAAGTGCTGTGTGATTTGTCCAGTATTATGTATTTATTTATTATTTTATAATTTATGCATACACAATGATGGCACCTGTTTTTTATTTAGTCATGGCACCTTTTTTATTTACTCTTATTTTTGAGTATGTGCTTATATTTTGGTAACTGTGTATTAATTTTAATCATAATTTCTGCGTAAATTACAAAAATAAAGATATTTACATTTGTAAATAGTAATAAATATTCTAAAAATGCGGAATTCTGCAAAATAAAATTGCAAACGCGAAAACTGTGACCATTTTGTATATAAAAAGAATGTTACGTCAGAGTTGTGTGTGAGATTGATAACAAATATTACGTTATGTAGTTACAAAAGTCCATTAGGTTAAATAACAATCTAACATATAGTTTAAGAAGATGTGGCGGGAACTTCTTGTATCACTAAGATAAGTATCCTACATTTAATTTTTACGGCGGCTTTGCGCAGAGCGAATTTATTAATAATTATTTATAAAATAATTCTTATTAAACTCACTGTGGAATAATGGAGAATTTTACATTTTGTAGCGACCATCCGAAGCCGGTTAAAAGTCATATTGAAGAAAGAACGCGTATAAGAATTCGATTGAACTATGTGAACCAGTGAAATGGTACTTCATATACTCGCCATTTGTTCCTTTGAATCGACTCTTTAGGTGAGTTCTCGTTCACTTATGTACATATGATATTGCGAATGTAACACGAATAAAACTATTAATAAATGTATACTGTGTTTGATTTTTGCTGTGCCTTTTATCACTGTTATTATGGACTTTGTAACTACATGTGATTGTTTCATAACTGTTAATGCACTGAAAGGTTACTCTGAATGTGATGATTGTGAAGATTGTGATATATAATAAATCGTTCTAGACGGCTAACGATAATTGAAATATTAAATAATATATCTATTTAAAATCTATACATATAAATAAAATTTAAGTGTATTTTTACAAAATCAAATAAACCGATTTTCACTAAATGCATATTTTTAAAATTATGTCTGTCTGATATTGAAAATAATCGGCCGAGCCAGGACCGATTTTGACGAGACTTCACTCGTGATAAGCTAATTTTATTATTATACAAAAGCGAATGACGTCGCGGGTAACAGCTAGTTGTTAAAATATATTCATTTATTTTATTCTGTTTTCCTTTAACAGCACTAGTGTGTATTGTAATTAAAAGGCTAATATTTGTTTTAGTGCCATTAATAATTATTAAATGAACCATTTATTCGACTATTTACTACTCATGTTTACTTAGTTCGAAATTAGGTCTCTTATAGTTTAAACCAAGATTCTGTTCTACGAAAATAGGTTTAACACAGGGATATGTTTATACCCATTAGCACTTCATTAGTAGAGGTACGCATTGAAATATTCACATAATCTATCTTGGATACAATAGATACGTTTTGTTAGTACTGCCTCGACACATTTTTCTAGGAGTCCCGTTTTATCTTTTTAAGTATTAATTATATTATTTATTCGTGATATGTATTCATCAGTCGTTTTTATGCAGATCTCAATAATTATATGTTTTTATAGCTCATGACCTTTATTTAACTTTATTTTAAACTAGTTGACCCGGTGACCCTTGCTATCACTTATACCTACTCGACTGACTTGTGACTGTGGCAGATCGTGTGTTCTCAGCATTTTAATGAAGGCTATAACGGCATGGACAGATTTGCCATTGAGTGTAGTTAACACTCAATGGCAAATCTGTCCTTGAGTATGAATAGTTCATTATTCCTCTCAATAAAGTCAATGTAGTAGCTGCTGTAATAGCATAAATTTGTCGTATAATAAAGTGTAGCTTGGTTAAGTACAAATGTTTTAACTAAGGATTAATGTTTTACATGACATAAATTCCGGTAGATGTTGTACAATTATTTTAATTGAATAAAATTATGGTATATGGATAGAATATTTTTATATCATAGACTATTTATTATTGAAATCTAACAACTAAAACTGAAGGATATAAATAAAAAATTCTGTAGATATTTGCATATTTTCTATCAGGCATTGTATTCTTAACAAAAGGTGAGGACTGTAAACTCGTTAGTAGGTGTAACAATGTCTGTTGTTAAAATTAGGTCGTATATTAGTTTTATATATTTTTATATTATTTGTATGCGATGGTCACAGTTTAATACAATTTTTTTGTGCAGTGTTCTGTCGCGATTTATTTTTATATTTGCTTTTATATATACAAAACTTCCTAATTTTGATCTGTAAATATCCTCTTTTTTATGTACATATTGAGCATATAGTTTTAACATATATTTTTTTTAATGTTGCAGTCCGCTCAGCGCCGCATTCGTGCTATGGTGGCGCAAGCCAGTGCGCCTGGTCGTCGCCGCGCGGCTCAGCCTCCACCGGCACAACAGTAAACGGCCTCCGCGACCCCTTCCCCGCGCGCCCTCATCACCACTTCACCCCCAACCCTCGCAACACAGTCAGCCTCGGCCAGCCCTGCCAGGTCTTCGCAGCGTGCTTGGCCTCGAGGCCGCCGACGTTATGTCACAGGCCAGTAGCGCGCTATATACCTCTATTAGCTCAGTTAGGGTGTCTGGTACATGCCGCACCCACTTTGTACTTGTACTGCAGACTGGACACGCCCGCGCCCAGTCTACCGAACACTGCGCAGGCAGGCTGTTGTGTTGACAGCATGTGTCCAAATGTTATTGTTGACATAATTATATTATTGTAGTGAATTGTAATTAAATACTATTTTAAATCCATATTTTATCCCGGGAGTAACTATGTTGATAATTAATATTTGAATATAATTATATATTATACACTATTTTTTTAACTATAGTGCCAGTTATATGAATTTAGTGCCGTGAATATATTTAATTGTTATAATTGTTTTCCTACCCTGTTATTCTACTACTACATTATAAAGAGTTGTCATAGATTGCAATAGTTAACGATTACGTTCTCTATACATATACACATGTTGATACAATAGCTATAGTAATCAAACCAATATAATTATACAAACGAGAGGAAGTACATATTTTGTTTTGTTATAAAGTAATAGATTAATCTGTTGAGACTATCACTACACTGCTGTTATATATAATTTTTGAAAGGGTGTGTGTGTGGAATATTTTAAACCAACTGTAGGAACGGATAATGCACATGACGTTTATGCTTTATCGAGGAGGCTCAATGGAAAAACGGATGCTTGGCGAGTATATTGTAAGAATATTTTCTTTAAACGATACATGAAATTTCTGCATGCATGCTGAGGAAAACGTTGTTGTACAATGGTTTCGTAGAATCAACTAATGTGTTGGGTGTTAAGTAACTAATCCAAAGAGTGAACGCCGATCGCTTGTCGAGTCGGCACAGTGTTATGACGAGCCTTGACTAGACTCGAGGACGTCGCCGCGGCGACGCCCTCACATTACGGAAATGATAAGGTCCATCTGTGGATGAATATTTTTGATAATATAATAGTAATTGTTGGAGAGTAAGGAATTTTAATTTTTAAGTAACATTTGTTGATTCGTTTTTTTGTAATTTTGTCTTTGTTAGCTTTATAATGTTTTCTTAACGGTGTAATTTGAAGATTTTGAAAATTAAGACGATACCGTAGCGTTAATGGTGCGAATGGAAGCGTCGCGTATTGTTCGGTTCTATCGTGATATGTTTTATTGTACGATTTGCGTTATACTTGTGCCAAGTGAGATAATTAAATATGAGAGTTTAAGATTAAGTGAGTAATATCAAAATTAAAGAAAGCTTAGATATTTATAATTGTGATAATAATATATGGAAGTTTTGGCAAAAATGTTACTAAGAATGTTAAATCATTCTTATTTCCATTTTCTCAATTTTAGGTTAGATTATAATAAAATTATAAATTAAGTTGTATAGGCGATGTGGGGCATAAATAAATAACAGCGTCTTGACTGCCGTTGGGATCAGAGTCGCGGTCCACACCGTGTGCGGGCCGTGTACGGGCCCTGTACGCAGCCATCGAATGGGGCGGCGGCGGAGTATGTCTGTCTGCTCGTTTGACATAACGAATCACATCTTTTTTAACATTCGAACCAGAATAATTTTTTTACCCTATATCCCAAATGCATTAAAATAATTTTCATTTCATACTTATCGGATGATTATTTTCCATCCCTGAAAATATTTGCACATTGAGTGCTTACAACTTATTTAACGTAATAATGCTTTATTCAGAATATTCACAATAATGCTATATAATTTCTCATATTTGTTTAACATCTATAATATAAGCAATTGGCTACAACAGTTTTGTATTGCTTCCACATATTATTGAAAATTAATCTCACTAATGGCCTTTAATTTGTTATGACTGTTCCATAATTCTTTTACCGATCGGACAAAGTACGTATATATTACAATAATTCATTAAAATTTGTAATCTAATATTTGACACGAGATTAACAATGAATGAGCAAAATAATTTGAGGCTGATTGGTGTCAACTCTTCACAAATATGTTTGCGATTGGTGAGTCATATCAATGTGAGGTACGTTGTTACTTTACTGTACTGTAACGTACTTAATAGTCGCCCAAGAACATAAGATAATCATGTTACCAACTTATGGACAAATATTCTCGAATCGTTCAATATAAAGTTTTGTAGACAATTAAATCGAAAACATAACACTACGATCTACAAATGTTTGCTTAATACTAAATTTCTTATAGAAGTCAGAAATGTACCGAAAACTTAGGCATATATTTATAATCATTAATAGGCATTTGTCAAATATTAGTAAGTTGTTTATTTACTATAATTGTTACATCTGTAGTTTACTAAGACACACCATATGTATAATGCGATCTACAGGCAACTGCACATGTTTTAGCTTCCTATGTATGTTATTTTACTTTTAAATTAAAATATGTACAATTATGAATATGACTTTAAATAAATTTGAATTATATGATATGAATAAAGTCTATGAATAAATCTAACCTTTTTTTCATGTTGCGATTGTGAAGTCTTATTTAATGTTTATATGTATGATTCTCTATCTATTGACCATATATTGGCCTCCTATGTTACCAAATTTTGAATACGCAGAATATATAATCATGAATTGGGAATATGCCGAAAGAATAAATAGAAATGATATAAATTATGATAAAATAAAAACTCGGATGATTTTGTAAAATATATAATTATGAATATCTCGAAGGAATAAATTTAAATGATGTAAATTATGAATAAATCGAGAACTTTTAATTCAGAAGTCGTAGTTTCGAAGATACAAGTATGTTTCTCTATTAATAAAATTTTACTTACTATATTGTATGTATTGTATTTATAATTGTCCATGCTTGTATTGTTTTTAACATAATGCGATTGGATGTTAAAACAGTGCAGTTCCCAAACACGGTACGGATAGTGTTATATTAGCTTTATATAACTCTATAATAAATGCTAAGCGCTATTTTGTTTATACATGAATCGCTCGGCATCTTGTTTGAGAGTTGGACGTCGGTTAATTCTGTGGCATGTTCTGAATTGACATGACTATCGTAATATGTTATGACGGAACTAGATCATACACGTCTTTGTAGGTTAATGATGTTATATTACCGTGTGATTTATCAACAGCACACTATTTTAAGTCGAATGTTATTATTGTTATACATTATGAAGTTGCTATATTCTATTTACTCTAGTTGTTTGCATACTATGGAATCTTAGCATGAAATACTGGTTATTGTGACAGTTAATTATATGATATAAAATAAAACTTACACTCGTGTGACATATGAATAGAAATTAGTTTTTACTGTTTAGTACCTATAAGTGTTATGTGCTAAATAGTTCCTACCGATATAATGTTAAAAAGTATAAAATCCCCATGACTTAAAATAGTGTGTTCAAGCATCTTAAACAAATGAACTATACGATGTCTAAGTACAGACAGCTCTGGATACTACATAATTTCCCTATGTAATACTCCATAATAAATATGAATAATTATACGTCGGGATCTCACTCGACATTTGCAGTCTTATAACAATACCACAAGACTGATGCCGGTGACATTTCGACTTGCTACTTGGTAGTTGACATAACGAATAACATAATACCTCTAACTCTAAATAAATAACTTAACCGCACCATGTTCAAGTGACCTACTTACGGTAAAATGCGGAAATTGGTTCGTAATAATATATGTATATATATATATATATAGGTATCGAATATGAAGCCGTATAATTTCTTAATGTAGCGAACCGATTGTAGTTCTCCGGTTGTAATGCTCTCCTGAGCTCGCTGCTCAAACTGTGCACCATATTGAAATTTCTTCATGAGATATTTGATCCTAAATGTATTGCCGTTTATTATGTAACATTCCATATTTTAAGGAAATAACACCTGGAGGTTTAAATTTAGAATCAAATATCATAATGTATATTTAAATGTCATTTGGACATAGTATTTTAATATTATTATGTACTAAAAGGGACTTGTAATTATCTCTGTAATAGTCCTTAATGATAAAAAGAACAATTTACAATCACGATGTTAGCAGTTATTTGTACATTACGAATAATACATCTCTGTTTTAGATATACATATGTGTGCTTAAACTATAATACAGTAGAACCTCCAAAAGTTTAAGTTCAAGGAAAACGTTATAAAGTTCCAGTTATAGAAGTACATAAGTGTACGTAGTATTAAGTGTATATGCCAGGTATGTTTAAATGGCTCATGTTTTACTCTGAACTATTTCATTTCTGTTATTGAGGAATCAATAACTGGCTTGGTGTTAAAGTTAAAAGACCATTCTGAACATATCTGAAAATCTAAAAAGGCAGTCGCCGTAATCTTTTTGACTGAAATTTATGGCGGTTCTCTTACTTGCTACTTTCTAATCGATGTCTATTTAGATATTTAAATGTCAGATGCATAGGAAAAATAATTAGAATTTTCCACTCATAATAACTACTGATTATTCCGCTTTCAGTCGAGAAATACCACTGAAATATATATATTCTCTGATGTCGGCAGCGCGCTATGCCGGTCTTAAAAAGGATTGTTATAGTTGCTTAATTTTTAATTGCGTCGACGGTTGATTTGAAAATTTTTGAGAAGTAATATTTTAGTAGCGTCCAAATGAATGAACGTGGCGTCTTTATGTTACCGTGATCTAAATTATTGAGGTTTTACCGTATAAATAAACACATTGAACGTTTGAATTTGTGTGTTGGTTTTATATAGATTCATGTTTGTGTAATATTTCCACATGAAAATATAATGCTGGACAGGAAATTGTAGTGTCGCGCGTGAAGTACGACAGCGCGGTGGCGAGCCGAGTCAGGCGGACTTGGCCGTCGCCGCGGCCTGTGTGCGCTTCATGGCGATCAGCAGATTTCGCTTGCATCGGCTATCTAAAGGAGTATGATAACAGTTACTTTCACTACCACAGAGATGTACATATAAAAGCATGTTGTTTATTCCTCCCAAATATAAGCAAGAGAGGGTACGTTGATTTGGAACGTGTTTAGAATGCAGAAATAGTTTTAGTTGATTAATTGTATCGTTGTGAAGTAGTGTTAAGTTGAGGGTAGGCGCTGGCGGCGCGCGGCCACGAGACTGAATTACACCCCTGCCGTCGCGCCGTCGCGCCCATTACTTACATGTCATTCTCGCTAATAATATTATACTTTATCATTCTTGTTTGATCGATCTACTGTTATTTACATTATAATATTACTTTCTCATGTGTGTAACCACTATTTTGTGTATTTGACGTGTGAACGACTGAATTTGATTTCATTTTTTCGCATGACTTGTTTAAAATATGTAGTAGTTATTATACGACCGATTAGGTAAATCATTAGCGAAGTTGTCCATCATGATGCCAATTTTATTAGAATTCATCTCAGTTTATTGTTAAACTTTTTTAGTATGGGAATTACTTACTAGAGAATACTTATTCTGTTGTTCGTACGTTACACTCTTCAATATAATTAAAGTTTCTTGCAGTTTAATAGTGTTAAATATGCGTATGTATTTATGTACGTTACTGAAACTAGTAAGAATGCAGAGGCATATAACAGACGACGAGAGTCGTAGTGTCCGCGCTGGGTACTCCGACCGTGTGCTAACGAAGGCACGTATGCTGTATGCATGTATGTGGACACGTACTCTATTTTAATAGAACAAAGAGATCATTAACTTTACAATTCTAAAAGTGTGTTATATATTTAGAGTAATCTGTTAATGTTTCGTTTTACCATTTAACTATAAATATAATATTATTTTACATCATGACAATTCATAATTAAAATTTCAAAGGTGAAATATAATGTTTTGACCTTATAATATTAGAAAGTATACTTGTGTAGTAAGCACGGGGTTGGAGCCACTTGGTGGGCGACTCGCATTTAAATTTCGAGAAGCTATTATTGTTACTTCTCAAACTTATTAAGGTCCAATATACAATTGATTTTCGTTTGTTTTTTTTTTCAATTAACTGTTCATACTGGATGTCTTTAACTTATACAGATTCCACCAAAATTTTCTTTGAATTATTACTGTTAATTTTAGAGAACCATTTATAATTGGTATAAGTTTTGAAACTAATAACTACCTCAATATTACTAAATGAATATGATAATTATCTTTGTGCATGTTTTTGGGAACTGAATTAAAAATATTCAATATAGTATAAGGATGCTATTTTAAAACATCGTAATGGAAAATTGTCAAAATTAGGTTTCTTAACGTAATAAAAGTGAGAAAAATTTAATGGGTTTTTAATTTAAACATTCCATATCCCCCCTCCTAATATCCTTTTTAATACTGTACAACATATAACATGAAGATATTGATTAAGAATGTAATATAATTTATTCACATGCATTATGGGACAAATTTTAATTTCAATTAGCAATCGACTTTAGGGTGGAGCAGATGAATTGAAAAATAACTTTAGGGAATTATTAGTCTGCTTTGAAGCAACAGATGGGAGATAGCACAGACTTCAATTACTAACCACAAACCACATGGCGTATACACGCAATCGAATTGAATACCGCTTGAACAAAAAGTTCACTTTTGCTTTCCTTACCATACAATGGTGTAATTATGGCAGAAGTAGTATTATTAGTGCCGTATAACGTTCGCACTGCTGTTAGGTTCATTTTCTCAGAGGTAATTACAAACTGGTACAAAATTGTGGATACTACTGGCTTCTTTGTGGCCACCTTGCTTTGTAAACGGTTTTGATTTGAGTCATAGCATGATCTTAGTTCTTCGAAATGGCAACGCACGCTATACCACGGGCGTCACTGTCCGTAGTGCTGTATTAGTGTATAAGCGACCGTTATCACATACTATCAGCTGGACCACCAGCTTGGTTGCCCTTGCAGTTATATAATGTGCAGAGGTGTGATGTTAAGGAGCTCCGTAACCGTAACCGAAATTATATGATATCCGAAATAAAAATTTCTGACAATATCGGATAGGGGTTTGAACCTGATGACTGATTCACCTCGTGTGTGTAATCGAGGCTTCATCAAATCGATCATTAAAGGTTTAGTATTGTATGCGTGAAACCACAGATGTTCAGTGCATAGGCCTGAACACTGATCGTTACCTCTTTCCTTATTACAATCAATAGACCTCAGCTATCCTAGTGTTAATTGTTCAGTGACTAGACTACGCCTCCAGCTGATTACATCATTAATAAGGAAAGGTTTAATGGTAGTGTCACACAGTTAATGATAGCGGAATTAAAGAAAGATATCAAATCACTCATGAAATATACTTTCAAACGCAAAATAGCACAACAGGGTTGCTTTCTCAGTGACACTGAGTCGCACAGAGCCGAATATACCTACAACTATAGACAAAGCCAAGGCTTCGTCTTAAGTTACAAATTGAATTTATATAATCCTAGCTACTCGCCCCGGCTTCGCACAGGTCTACATGTATTATATATATAAACCTTCCTGTTAATCACTATCTATTAAAAAAAATCAGCTTGATAAAAATCCGTTGGATAGTTTTACAGGTAAGTAATAAATACACATTGCATTGGGCTGTTAGACCAGTGATCATTAATAATAAGGGATTGGTGTTCACTGACCCACCATTCAAATTTCACTACATTTTATTTGTACTTGCCAATATTGTCTGGCTTGATAAGTTACAACTGTGAGGTTATCCAGATAGACAAATATTATCAAAGTCCAAATGCAACATTATTACAAGTCTAAATATTTTTATCGAAGTATTAACATTACTGATAATAATGTTTAAACAAGAACACGCTATCTTTAAAAGTATGCCAAGACAAGTAAGCAGATGTCATATAATTTTAAAAACAGCTCTAATGATACGGATGCGTATATAGGTATGTACTAATATATTCGAGCTGAGAATTATAGGATTTAGATCCAAATAACTTGTGGTGATTCTCCCGTCATCATTTGTGAGTACCCCGAGATATTTCCATGATATTCATACAGTATACGTATTCATAAGGGCGTAATTACAGGAACCTTGATCTGCTTATTATAATAAAAAATTACCCTTCTGGCCGGAAATCACTATAGACCAAATTCAAGGGACCAACAGCGCTACCTACAAAGGGCAAGGCAAGATTATGTATCGGTACTCGGTTGCCAGTTACTAGATTATGAAGGCCACATCTTAATCTTAACTGGAGAATCCGTCAAACAATTATACCACGCATTCTAACCATATACAATAACGTACCATATAATTTTAAACGGCTGCATCTTTCATTAAAAGTGGCGCCGTTTCCGATGAATAACAACAATTGCAGTGCCAAACCTTACCTTAACCATACATTTAGCACGCCAGGTTTTTTTTCCAAAATCAGCTCTAGGTGACTTGCTTACGCGTTGTTAAATCGCAAAATCTGCATGGTTATGAGAAACGGAAATCGACATAGTTTATATGAGTATATATATATGTATATAGCAGTAGCTACGTACTTATACTGCTGGCATAACATAATTTACTGTTTAAGTTACTAATGATACTATTATATTTTCTCCTACACAGTATGTTGTTTATAATTATTCGGATAAATACAGTACATCTATTCTCACAACCTATACATAACGTTTATAGCGCCTTAGTGAAACCATCATAAAAAATACTTAGTTTCTATTTACATACATTACACAATATAGAACAAGGGTCCTTAAAGTACCAATGTCTATCTGTAGCGCCTTCACGACTAAACGGCAGAACCAATTTTAATTAATTTGGTTATAAAGACAGGAGAAACCTTTTAGATAAAAATAAACTAAGTACTACAAAATCGCAGGCAACAGCTAGCTTATACATATATTTAACTAGCTGTGCCCGCGACTTCGTTCGCGTGGTTATTAAAACCTTGCGATTAGTTGCGGATATTTTTAAAGAGGAATCATATTTTCTTAATATATTTTGGGTAACTTGAACCGTTTACGTAGCGCGTGTGCTACGTAAACGGTTCAAGTTACCCAAAACGGATGCCCTCAATTATGAATAATTTTCCTCAATATTTTTCACTGATGCTTTGCTTCTTTTGGACGTATCATAATGTTATATACCTTTTATAAGAATTTTTCAATTTGAAACAGTAGGTACTTCCTGAGATTAGCGAGTTCAAAAAAACTAACAAACTCTTCAGCAAAAATATATTAGTATCGTAGACATCTATTAATAGACATCTAATATATCAGATGTTTCCCTCAATTTTCCAACACAACCTTTCATCACATCCCAGATCATTTTATATCTCATAAGGTAGCTTACATATGTCCGTCCTACGAGGACGGTCGTATCTTCATGTCAAAATTCAGTAAGATTTGTTCAGCCGTTTTGTAGAGAAAAGGTAATATACAGACAGGCACTGTCTAATTTTCATTTTCTTATGGATGATAATGGAATGGTGCACTCGCCTGTGCTAACGGTTTACGCTGGTGGGACAGCGCGCAGTGGAGGATGATAAAATGATCACGAAGTCAGGTTAGTAATCCTATCCTATATAGTAACACTGTCACGAGGGGGGAAAGGGGATTGTTAGTAATGTGGACTGTTGACCCCATTGCTAGCAATGTACCATGTCAGGTTGACATTCACGCGGCTCTC